TTGCGGATAATACCTGGTCAACCTAACGGTAGAACAACCATTAAGCCTATTTATCGTCCATAATCAGGTACATCCTGACAGATACACGAACCGCATGGCAATGCAAAAGACTTAGTCTACAAATGCCATTAGAAGAAAGCCGGAGGTGGCGTTACACTATGATGAGATTACGAATAAATTTGTAAAGCTCTTTCAGGTTCCACAAATTAGCTTTTCAATACATTTACAAGACACATTAAATCTGACCACAATTACATTTTTCACATGACTGTAGACTTTTTGTTTTTTTATTTAAATTAATAACTTATTAAAACAATTTATTAATGTAGATGGCTGTGCCAAATATTTGGCAGTATTACATTTTGTTTGTATATACAGAAGCGGATATTTTTCATTTAAATTATTTTTTCAAAAATTAAAATTTGTTATTTTACAAATTATTTGAATAAATAATTACAATTAATGACTATATACTTTGCTGATAATTATAATAAACCAACGATGCTGAAAATTAGCTTAAGTGGAGAAATAAGCGAAATTAGAACAACTTTTAAATTATTCACGGTTGAAGTAAAAGGATAATTAACACCAATATTAGTCGCTTGAGCAATTTTGGAAGAGAAGCGAGGTCTGAATTAGGATGAGCACTCGCGTGAAAACTAGAAAGCCGCACTGTCATGTTTTGGCGACAGTGATGTTGCTTGACAAAGAAACCACCGTGAAGAGCCGCCTCCACAAATATAGTCCATTGTGTCTCTCATTACGCCAATTCGGTGACGATACTTTTTGCAAGCGCTCTTAGCCGGTGCACAGTACCGCAATTAGCCAAATACCACAGTAGAACGGATTGTATTCGTGGACATGCTTAATTATCTTTGTTTTAACAATTTATTTTACTTTAATTGCGACGTCTTTGAAGGTATACAATCAACGTGAAATTGTTGTCAAGCTCTACTTATTGTTCGTCCGAAGGTGGGAACAAAACGCCGGACAGTTTGGTCTTTTTAAAATTCGTCTTCGCGAACCGCGTGTTTATCGCACGTATAGTCGAACGCGACGATGCTCGTCTATAATTACTCGATACGTGTTGCGACGATATCCGCGAGGAAAAATTCGCCTTCGCGGTGAGAATCGCGGAAATAACGGGAGCGTTGCACTTGTTATGGCTGGACGCAAGAACAATCGCTTTTTTCGAGATAACTCGCGGAGATAAGATTGGTGTTCGGTGTATCGGAGCCGTTTCGCCGTTCTCCAAACCTATCCGCGACATATCCGATTCAGTCGGAGAGACGAGCGATGCTAGATAAACGGTGATCGACCATTACCAGCCCACCTCGTGTAATTACTGATCCTCAGATACATCTTCTGCCTTTGTGTGGTCGTTTTGCGCCGGTTCGATCTCACCAGGTTTCTCTGATCGAATCAACTTACCGGCACCGCTCTCGGAATTCCAGCATATCAATCATTTTCGATCAAGCAACATTCTATTCTTAGAAATTACGCGATTACTGATATCAGAATGACTTAGACTTTCGTATTTGTAAATTCGCGTTGATACAGCTTATGTATTGTAATTTTTAATCGTAGCAAATATTATTATTTAATACGCGAGCTGCGCGTCCTCTGTTATTTTTATAAATTTTCATAAGCAACGCGAGATCACAATAGCCGGCTGTCATTGGAAATCGTTTTGATCGGGCGAGCGCGATTCTTTTCGGTACTCGAGTCCGACCCGCCATGTGAATCGAATAGAAATCGAGGGCGTCGATATCGGCCTGGGCGAGCGTGTGCATCGTGCCGCGGTGCATCGCGGCGCGGCGTGGTGCCGCACCGTATAAAACGTGGGCCGAGCGAGAGGTAACTCTCTCGACGTCGCGCCGCGGAGCCCAGCTGTGGGCGCGGCGGATATCCCGCTGTGTCTCTCCAGCATGGCCGACATCATATGCACACCCACGCCGTGTGTCTCTCCCTCTGCCTCCCACTGATCGCCGCTGTCTCCCTTTCTCGGTTCCTCGCCGCATCGAATTACACGGTCGGCGAAGTAATTTACAAAGCTACGCCCGCGAGAGCGCGAGCGCATGGAATCGTATCCGTTACATCCCTCCGCGGCGGCGGCGGCGGCGTGCGCGCAAATTCGCGATCGCTGATAACGATACCGAGAGATTAATGGCGCCGCGCCGCGCGGCCCCTTTGTCTTTAGCCGGCATACGTCGACAAAAGTAGTCGCGGGGTCCCTGATTAATTAGAAACGCGGGCGCGGTAATGGGCTGGGCGGAGGGGGTGGTATTTCGCGATCGGGGAAATCACGTCACTGCTTTCTCTGCTTGACTTTTACGAGCGTATGATTATGAGTATGTATTATAGTTTATCATTTACAATGCGTTATTGTGGATACGCGAGATTCTAATCGGAACTCGTACATTAGAAAGTAAGCTACAAAATGTTTAGCTTATACTCGTATTTCGTGGCAGCTCGTATTGTTTTAAAATCAATCTCACATCGCTTTGATACAAACTGTTCGCATTATTTTTCGACGAGTTGAAGAGCTACATTGACTACGTGCCGCCAAAGAATACATTATGCTGTATTTTTGATAATCTGAAGCATTTCGGTCTTGTCGTTTGTATGTACCTTGGTCTCTCGAGATGTGTAATCCATGTCCGTTGAGAGAGAAGCCTCAGTAAAAGGACATAGGAAAAACGATCCTGAATAATGAAGGGACTATTTCAAGGCACTAAACAGGCCGCGATCGAGTTGCTACGCTTGTTCAGCGCGCAGGAATCAAATCTAATCGCTTCCTGATTCAATTGTCTATTCAGGCGTTACGCGAAGAGTCTCATTCCGTGTTTCTTCTTCTAACGTTTTTGACAAGAGTCGCGTTACGAGAGTCCGCGGCATCTACCTCGTGGACACACGTCGCACTTACGTGCTTGTCATATGAATACAACGCAGTTTCCTGTCTCCGATGCTTCGACAAGAATCAAGCCGTTTAACCCACGTGCATGCCGCTGACGAAGCGAAAACTATTGCTACAGTTTCAAGTATCGGCGCATCCACAATGTTGCTATGTGAGAACGCCGTAACGAGCGATGAATACAATAGAAATCGTCGGGCCCTAAACGCGCGCTTTTGCGAACTACATATGTAATTGACGCGGAAGTACCACGCAAGATCCGCCGTTCGGCCGAAGGCGCAAAACTCACGTAGCGTCCCGCTAGTCACTTAATCCGCAAACATGGCGGTTCGAGCATGCGTTACGCTTCGACGCCAGTTTATCGGTAAATGGGGAAACATAGCGAATGATAAATAGATAGATAGTGAGCGCGCAAGGCAATGCTGGTACGTTTTTGATAAAAGTGTAATTTCTGTTCAAATTGCAACTCAATTTTCTACTCATTATCGATCACAGCATTATTGCTTATTTTTTCTACACTTGTTAAGATTGTTATTATTATATGATTAAAATATAATAAAATATAGCAATGATATTTTAATGATAAAATAAGAATAAAAGTAAAAATAATTTAAAAAATTTAATCATAGTATATTATTATATCGCAACTATCGCTGATGAGGGTGCGAAATGAGGACAAAACGTACAAACAACACTCAAATAAATAATTTATAGTTTTTTACAAAGATCTTATTTGTTTATACTTAATTTTAATTATATTGCCATTAATTATGATTCGTATTAAAATTATCTTTTTTTATCAAAAAACATTTATTACTTGTTCGCAAACAGAAATAAATGAAGATGTCATAATTTAGCTAAATTGCTAAAAAAAAATTACAATGCCGTGTATTGATAAAAATATTTTAATCGATATTTTTTAAGATTAATGATATTCCCACGGTACTTACGCAAGCCGACGCACAAGTCGGCCTCTCGTCGAACATGTTAATCATTTCATGTAATGCCGCGAGTGCGGAGGGTTTTAGATTGGCGAGGAAAATCCGTAGATTGGTTAACGAGGCTCAGTACGAACTCGGCGAAATTGGCTCGATTAAAACCCACGGGGCAGCTGCCCCGAAGATTGTGCCCCGTCATGTGATTGGTCCCTTCTCCCGGGTCCTTTCTTCGATCTCCTCCATTTCGAGATGCATCGATACTCGGCCATCATTAATCATGCACTTTTGTACACACTCGTCGATGGGACTCCCTGCGAGGGACATCCGAGACGCAACAAAAATGAATCTCGAAGATCGAGACTGGGCCTGAACGGCGATCGAGGCCAGATGTTATTAACTTATGTAAAATAAACATAAACGAAAGCCGCGCGCAGGGCGCGCTGTGGCGTTGTGGAAGTATCGGGACATTAATCGTGCGACTTTTCGGAGAATGGGAACGATGTTATGATTGCTTCGTGCAAAAATTTCATTTTAATCGAAAATGCTAATCGCGAGCGTATCGTAAAATTGAATAACGGAACGGATATCTATGTTAATTGGTGAAATTGATTTTAGAATGGCTATTATGTTCTTCCTGCAAATGTTTTTTTCAAGGCATCATCTGCTTCTTTTAATTGAACGTACACCTGGTAACAATTTATTTTCGTACACGTGCTTGCTTAAAGTAGTTGTTATTTTATAACCAAATAATCGCGAACAGTTAAAAACGACACAAATTTAATTTCTGCGAATATCATTTCTAGGGTGAAGATAAGATGAGTGCAAATGAATTAAGTACCGAATAAGACGAAACTTCCACCCGTATATTCGCATCTATTCGATTTGCATTTAAAGTGCAACCCGCATGCACTCCGTTCTTTCGCTCGTGTAAATAGATAATGAAAACATATACATTTTACAATGTGTATATTTTGTTTTAAAGGATGCTATTTTTAATTATACAAAAAAAAGCATGAAATATTGTATCATTGTTATCTCCATTATTGGACTTACTAAGGAAATGAAAACAAATTTAATTAATTACAATTGCTATCAATGCATTGATTGCGTTATACAGCAATGTTATATCAATGTATATTTTATTTCAGGATATGGATCTGATCGAGGTCCTGTGGAAACAAGATGTGGATCTGGGATTCACGCTGGTAGAACCGGCCACGGCGCCCACTAAAAAGCCGTCAACATCGGAAAAGAAATCGGCGGACGAAATTGAGAAGTTGAAAACCTTGGAAGCTATCAATGCCACCAATCAAAAGGTACGAAAAAGCTTTTTCCATCTTTTTTAACTGATATCTCGCGCTATATGAATTTTATACGGATTTATTTTCGAAGATCGCAAAATTACGCGATTCTGTCGTCTCGATTTTCCAATTACGGTGTCTAACGAGCAATTGTTTATCGCGAATGCGCCGCTTTCTGCTTTCACGCGCGTCAGGAGGAAGCATTTGCTTCCTCTCGGACTCAATTTAAGCGTTCGTTTCTCCATATGCCAGCGAGCGCATTGATGTCTTCCTGTGTCCCCCGGGCGATTATCGGCGATAGAAAGCTCCGGACGTGCACCTGTACGCTAAAGAATGGCTCGCGACGTCACGCATTTTCCGTCCTGCCTCTCGGTAATCGCCGACCAATTGCGTTCGCTCGAATAGGAAGCGACATTCTCTGCGATGCATCAAACGAAAAAGACTTCCAGATTTGGCTTCCGGGCATTTACGCGCATATTAGAGAATATTTCTGGACGTTGCTATTAGACTCGCTCTTAACCATCATCAACAATCAATTTGGTGACTCGATTCGAGAAGAGCATACGCGTCGGCATATGCCTCGACAAGCGTATTAGCTAATTGACGCGCTGAGAAGGATGTGAACACACAGTAGAATACTATGTATAGATAGATTCGTATCGAATCGTAAAATCGATGATGAGGCATCAAACAAAAGTGACGCCGCTTGCTCGATCAACTGCGGAATTCGGCGCTGAGGTGGTTATCTCCCTACCATCTCTTCATCATGCATTCCACGTAAAGGTCATTCCGAGGGCGCGCGCCTATTCTAGATCAATATTCGAGTCTCCTTGTAAATATTGCCGCTTATTTCAGGAAATTTTATAACGTGATTCCTCAGCACGTGGCTTTCGCGCCAGGGAAGCTCGTAATCATTCGTTAGATGACCGATTGCGATCGCAGAGTACTAAGCCTAAGCCGGGCTAGCGACCGTTTTCGGTAGACCCGAAGAGAGATTAGGAAGGAACGAGCGCACGCATCTTCGGATATGATCTTGGCCGATATTCCATCGATCTTGTCTTTCCCAAGTTATATTCCGACTGAGATAGCGGTGTCATTTTGTCTCACGCTGTATTTTAATATCTGTGTCTCACGAAGAGACATGTCTTTATGCAGCGGCAAAGAAATGCACACACAATTTCTTTCGTAATCTCTTCTACGTAAATATCGTAATGTAACTTTCTTTAGTCGGAGAAAGTCGACTAATCAATAATCTCTATTATTATTATTGCTTAAAATAATAATGTTATTATTTATCCAATCAAAAAAATGTTGATGTTGAACAAAGATATTTAAGACAACTAAATAGTTTGATTTGGCATATTTCGACCAAATATTTGATTTCCGCGACAAAATTTTTTCTAGTGTATTATTACAGATAGGCATTATGAATTATTTTCTCTACGGCTTTGTCTACTATCGTAAAAATATTTTATTTAGCAGAATCAATCGATATAATGCCATTCTAAATAATAGATAATAGTTTACTAATTCGCTTCAGTAGATAAGTTAAACAATTTGTTTTCTAGTAATTTTTTATTGTCTTTTTTACAATAATAGAGCAAAGCTTTCAATTCTAGAAATCGTCTTTGATAATATCTCAAAACAGTCCTTTTAATTTATCAAAGCACGCAATTCGAAACTAGTCTTGATTAAATTGATTCCATCGGATTCTATTCATACAAAGTAACTTTTTCGATTGCGACTTTCCACTACGCGGCGCGTTTCGGTGGATGGACACGAGGCGCGTTTAAGTATCCGGCAGAATCGAGCCTACGAGAGCTCATCCATACGATGGTCACCGACAATGACGCTGCATCGACGTTCTGGGCGGGTAGCCCATCAGACTTCTCGACGTTCTTCGTCTCCCTCTCAGTCTCTCGTCCTCCCTTCGTCCGCTTCTTCGCCTCTCTCTTCTTCTCACGACCTTCGGTAGTCGGTGTTCCTTCTTTCTTTATTTCTTTCTCGACGTCGCTATGCGCCGCTTCGTCTCCATCGGCCTCTTCCTCCACGAAGATCGCATTGTTCCAGCGGGTTCCACCTTTGTGAAGGCTCGCCGCCGCCTTCGAGAGCCCAATAATACGGGGAAGACCCCTCGATCCCGATCGAAAGCCGACACATCGATCCGAGACACGGTCCGCGAACAGCTGAGAACAAAGAGGAGTCCAGTCTCTCGGCTTCTCCCTCTCTATCTCGCATTGCGACGGATTATTGACAAGCATTGTTCCAGCGTCCGGCCACAGAATTGTTTTAACTAAAGACAGGCAGCGCGATTCAGAAACTGCATGGCGTTGTCAGAAGAAGTAATAAGAAAATTTGATTGCACATATCTCTTGCATCACGCATCATTTCGCCGGGTTTGAAATTGGCGATAATTTTGACGAGTTCAACTTTCGGTGTCTTTTCAACAATGCCTGCATTGTTCTTGATTCTTTTCTGAAGAAATATGAAGAATTTGTTGGCGTGAACACTATTTATTGAAATATAATTTCAGAAATTGAGACGTAACTTGAGAATGTTGTAATTATCAGTCAAACTCAAAGTGAACATTGCAATGACAACACTTTACAAACGATCTTGCAGCGCGGAATATTTGTCAACATGTCGCGCTATTCGAGAAATAACGTTGATGTCACTAGGAAGAAACTAGACGAGTGAATTGCCGTAAAGCACGCTGTATGTTTCTGTTGTACAATTATCTCAAGCCGCCGTGACTGGCGAAAATTTTTAATCCAGAGCCAAGATTTAAATGATCGGTGCACGTCGCGGCGACAGGCTCCATTAGAGCGACTCCGTCTCGCTGCGAAACGGGAATGAGTTATGGCGGCGTTTAGAGGAACGTCAATCTAGAAAGTAGGAAAGAGGAAGTTCGATCGAGCGATTCAGGATGGAAAGCATTCGTCGCGAAGACAACAAATTTTCCCGTACTTAATGCACGCGGACGCGGTTCCCTTCGCGTATTCATCCATTCATTCTTCGCATACATCTTGTTCGTATTTGTTACGTAAAGAAAAAACGTCGTCGGCAATATTGCAACAATTAGAGATACAAGATGCGTCAATTACATTTTAAAAAAAAAGTAACAATACAGGGAAGGCTACCCCTATCAATATTTCTGTTTAAATATTCAATACTTTGATCGACATCCGCTTTGTACGCTCTCGATGCTCGTTGCGTATCATTAAATCGCGCGTATCGTTATGCGTTTCATCAGTCTGAGATGATTCGCGATTATTGATCGAAGACGTCTGCAACGAACACAATGCAAAACCCGATCAATTTCCACTTAGAGAACCTCCTCGCTCCGCTAGATTGTTTCAACGCGGATGCGTATCGCGCAAGATAAATCGCTGTAAGGCATCGTACTTCCTCTCGCAGAGGATCGTGCTTCGTCGAGCTGTCGTGACTGACGTGAATTTTTAATCCACCGACGCGATTCAAATGAAGCGAGTTCTTCCTAGGCGACGGGGCTCCATTAGGGCGACTCCGTCTCGGTGCCAGGAGGATGAAGACGGCGGCTCGGCCGGGAGGATCGCGGTGAGAAGAGGACGGGTCGATTCGTGCGATGTGGGAGGAGGATTCTCGACGAAAACAACGGACCCTCTTGCCCCGTCCTCTCCATCCTTGCCGAGCGTATTCATAAAACCATCAAAATGGCTAGCGTTCATTTGTTCCTGCGATGTATCCGTGAAGCCGGCAGGGTCTGGTAAAATGATAGATGTACGCAGCATCCCCTTCGGTACGAGGGGGCGCCATCGACGGACCTATCGGAGCGGAAGAGAGACGCGGCCGAGGCGAAAGAGAAAGAGGAAGAACATTGTCGATCCACGAGGCGTTTCTCGATAGAGAGAAAGAGAGAGAGAGAGAGAGACAGCGGACGATGAGAGAGGGGACCTCGGGAGCCAGAGAGATTGGAGCATCCAGGGAGGGGTATTCCGTGGGACGTATTGATGGTCCTGGAAATTGAAAACGCGCCCGGCCAGCCGAAGTGGGTTTGGCTTCCTTCTCTTGTCCCGATTGTTTCCGTCGGCTGGAATTTCAAAGCAAAATGGCGTACACGCGATGATACCGATGATCGCGTTTTTAATGTCTTTTGTTTTTCGTAAAATTATCTTTCGGCAACTTTATCCTCGCATCATTAGTCGCATTTTTAAATGGCAGGTCTGATTTTCTTTTTTTTTAATTTTTTTTTCCACAGCCAATAAGTATCATATCTTTATAAATTTAACATCAATTCGAAGATCTCATTTTAAGAAATGATCGCTTTAAGAAGTTTTGGTCGCTAAAATGAAGTATCCGACGAGTCACAAAATGTGAAACGTGTCGATTACATGCGATTCGAGGCAGCGTGACTCGCGCCACATCTCCGGCGACCGCGATACCATATTGGATTCGTATTTACTCGCGGCGATCAAGGCTGATTTGAATTATGCTTTCTATCCGCGCTGGTCCTTGTAAGGCGGTTGATCGGGGCAGACAGTCGTAACAGTTCGTAAACCTTAATTGAGAGCTATGCCAGCCATGCAAGTCCGTATCGCTGACAGGACCTCCATTGTCGCAGCGAGGGCTGCGTCGTCGAGTAGGACCGACGTTTCCTTCGAGAGTCGAAAGAGATGACGTTGTGAGCCCAAAATAAGGCACACGGCTACACGCATCCGTGACTCTTCAAAAATATTTTAGGAACAACTTTAGAATGCGGGAAACTTAAGCGCACAGCATGTTTCGCGCATTATAGGAAATGTATTTCATTCAAGTTTGGAAAACTGGAGGTTTGATGAACACACGAGGAAAGAGATCGTATATGTACATTGTAATAACATCATTGTATTTTTATCACTCACAAAAAATATAACGAATGTTTTTCTTTCCGATTTACGATAGCTTTCAATAGTCAGTAGCAAAGTGCTCGCTTCGTTTCACGGGAGTTCGATTTTAGGGCGCCGGTATAGATTGAATTTCGTATTCATATCTCCGTGGAGCTCGGCGTAACGCACCACTCAACAACGATACATCATATTGCCGGGATGAAAAAGTGACCAGAGCGTAAGCAGAGGGGGATGAAAGATTTGAGAGGGGTCGGCGAGCGAGAACGGCGAGGAGAGAGAGAGAGAGAGAGAGAGAGAGAGAGAGAGAGA